AGCCAACTGAAAACCTGGACTTCATCAAGACTCCCAGCGCTGCAGGTATGGGCACATCTGAGATGCCTGAGCGACTCAGTCACGTGGCTCATCACGCTCCATGGTGCCTGAGACCAAGCCCCAAGGCCAGAGAATGAGGGACAGGGACTGGGACCTAAAGAGGTCAGGGGCTGGGAGCCAGACCCTGAGGACAGAGGTGGAGCTGGGAGTGAGGCCCCAACTCATCCCCCTCCTGGGAGTTACCCTAACTCTCCCTGTAGTCATGTAGGTAACACAGACCTCACAGGTGTGAGTCCGTGCACATGCTCCCACCAGAGCAGGTGACCCATGTGCCAACCTGGACCCCTCCCAGAGGGATTACAGGCGATTTCCCAGGCACCCCAGCTTTAGCATGGACCATCAGGCTTGGGAACATCCCCAGGTCTTCCAGGAAGGAGTTAGAACAATTGTCACCTGGCTCCAACAGTTTCACTCCTGGTAGATTTCCCTGGAGTCTTCCCTAGATGAATCCCAGGAGGGGTCATGCTGGGGGGCTGGTGCTTCCTTATGCTGGTGATGAGCCAGAGGAAATGGGGTATTGGTGAGTAATGGGGTACTGGAAGTTAAGCATATAGTCCAATCCCCTTACAGAAAGGACTTGGGGAGGAGACAAGCCAGTCAGCGTGCGATGCAGCAAAGATGAAACATACAACTTTCCTCTAGTTCCTAAATGCTTCCCCCCCCCGCAGCACCCCACTATCATGATCCCAATTCCACCTTACAAATCTGGCTAGCCTAGAGGATGTACATTGGTACAGATAGGAACTGGAAACACAGGGAATCCAGGGCAGATGATCCCTTCAGGACCAGTGGTGAGAGTGGCGATACTAGGAGGGTGGAGGGAGGGTGGGTTGGAAAGGGGGAACAGATTACAAGGAGCTACATATAACCTCCTCCCTGAGGGACGGACAACAGAGAAGTGTGTGAAGGGAGACGTCGGACAGGGCAAGATATGACAAAACAATAATTTACAAATATCAAGGGTTCATGAGGAAGGGGGAGTGGGGAGGGAGGGGAAAAAACGAGGAGCTGATGCCAGGGGCTTAGGTGGAGAACAAATGTTCTGAGAATGATGTGGGCAATGAATGTACAAATGTGCTTTACACAATTGATGTATGTATGGATTGTGATAAGAGTTGTATGAACTCTTAATAAAATGATAAAAAAAGAAAAGAATACAGTCCAAGCTCCTGTGACTGAGGTTTTCCCATGTATGCGGGTGTGTCCATCCTCACAGCCGCCCTACAAGATAGGGTTAAAGGCACATGTCCCCGGTGAGGAACCTGGGCCACCCAGAGGGTAACTCGTCCAGGGTCTCGGCACTAACCCGTGGCTCAGTTCTAAGCGCCACACTCCATGTGTGCAGAACTGCACCCGGCACAGAAGACAGAAGGCCCCAAAGTACCTAGTACAATTCTGAGCAGCTCCATCACAAAGGGAGATGCTGAAAAGTGAGACCCCCAAAGAAGCAGTCTGTGGTTTAGCCCTAATCAGGCTAACTTTCCCGGTCAGCGTCTGAGTCTACTGGGGCGCAGGGAGATGGGCATTCCCTAACATAGGCCTCTGGGAACCCATCTACTTCATTGGCTTATCCACTGGGTGAATTGTGTGTCTGTGGATCATTGGGTGGGTGGGTGAGATTTGACATGCCCCCCATCAGCCTCTACAGAGCAGGTGGGAGTCAGGGGGCTCCAGAGGGCCCCTCATATTTTTTCAGAAAGGCCTACTCCTGTGCCACAAATCCACGGAGCTTTGTGCACACCGGCAGGGTGCTCTTGCTGAAGGGGGAAGCCTAGGGCAGCAGCCTGTGAAGTGAGAAAGGGGCTCCACCCCCACGGCGGCCAGCATGTCCCCATGCGCACCTGGCCTTGGGGAGGAAGGAGAGGGATGTCCTGAGAGACAGAACTCCCAGCTGTCTCCAGCGTTAACCAGGCTGACCCCACCCCCCAGCCCCTCGCACAGTCAATACCCACTGGGCTTTCTTCTTCCTGTTCCACTTTCTCAGACTTTTCGTTTAACGGATGGTATTGCCATTTATAGAGAAGCACATTTACACTTGGCCCAGAGCTATCTCCCATGGGTCTGGCACTGAGGAGGTCTCACGGGGACCTTGTATTACTCACAGGCCAGGCAGGGGGTGGGGGGGCTTCTCCCTGAGAAGTTGCATGTCCCCCATCCGAAAAGTCTTCCTCAGGTGCCCGCCCTTCATCCCCGCTTCTCTTCCTCACACCCCGCCATCTGCTCAAGGCGGCTCAGCCTGCCACTGCAGTGTCTCCACGCTGGGGCGTGAGGGGTGGCTGAGCCAGAAGCAATTTGGTCACAAAGTCCAGGGCTGCCTCCCAGCGAGCCCCATATGGAGGCCTGCATCAGCCTCCCTTCGAACAAAGGGGCATCTTAAACCCATCGAGGGGGACAAGTCATCACTCACCAGCCGTTTAGAGGCACTGTGCAAACGCCATCAGAGCCAGGAAGAAACCTGTCCATCCGTCAGGAAAGAGGCGGTGTGCCACGGGAGTTGGGAAGGGGGTGGGGGAAGGCCTACTGCTCAGACTGCATGCCCAGTTCCTCTGATGACAGAGCGTCACTGAAGCCATCCGAAGCCTCCGTTTTCTCATCTGTTAAAGGGAGCCTTGGTGACACAGCTGCTTAGCGCTCAGCAGCCATCCAGAGGTTGCAGTTGGAAGCCACCCGCTGCTCCTTGGGAGAAAGACCTATCCATCAGCTCCAGGGAACAGGACCGCGTGGAAAACCACAGGGCCAGTTCTACGTGGTCACACTCAAAATCCCGCTCCACAGCACCCAGCAGCTACAAGTCCCTCCCTCCCAGGGTCGACAAGACAGTGGAATGAAGCAATTCACGTAAGGGACTCAGGCAGGGTGCCCAGCACACCGCAAATGCTTGATACAAGTGAGCTGAAATGATTATCAAAGAGCCCTGGAGAGGGAGCAGGTTATTGCACAGCAGGCTGCTAACCCAAAGGGCAGCAGTTCGAAACCATCGGCAGCTCTGAGGGAGAAAGATGAGGCTTTCTGCGCCCATACAGATGTGCAGCCTGGGAAACAAATGTCTCTGAGCAACTCTCCTGCCCTATAGGGTCGCACTGAGTTGGAAAGTCTAAAAGGACTATCAACAAAACAGTCTTTTTTTTTTTTCTTCAACAAAACAGTCTTACAGCAGTCTCTTTAACTGCCCCTCTCGCATCCCAAGGGTATAGAGATATGGACCGGAGCGCACTGTAACCCACCAGAACTGCTTTCTACTCACCCTGTCTCAACCCAGCTCCTCCCCCTCCCCCGCTTGCCACCTCCCAAGACGCACAGATGAAAGCCAGGGAACACCAGAACCCTTTCAAGGCAGGGCCATCAAGCACAGCCAGGATGATTTTCATCCCCATGACCACCAGGGTCCCTCTGCGCAAGCTACGTGCAATTCGAGACTGACCCTGTGGTGTTTGGCCTCCCCTCCCCCACTCAAAAAAGCACCTCAGTTTGAAGGTGAACAGGAGTGAAGCCATCAGTCAGATTAACCTCACATTACTATCTTTATTTTAAGGTAAGTAGTCCCCAAATCCACTTGCAGGTTTGCATATGGCTTAAGCCTCCAGTGAATCTGAACCTAGTTCGGGGCTGTGGCAGATGCGGTTAGGTGGTAATGTAATACCTCACCCTTTCTTCTCCCTTTGGACCCAGTTCATATATTTCAGTTTTTCATATCTTCTGCTTTCGTTTCGATTGAGGTTTTTCTGTTTTGTCTAGTCATTGTTGATGGTTTTCTGTTTGTTTGCTTCCTGTTCGTGTTGTGTATGATTTTCTGTACGTGTAATCCTGGATAGGTACATATCTCGAGACAGTAATTGCATTAACAACTGGCCAGGAAAATAAAATAAAATAAAAATAACTGCCTAGGGGCGTGACAGGGGGTGGTGGGGGATGGGGAGCTAACAACAGTGAAGATGTTCCGAAATTGATTGTGGTGATGGTTGCACACTCTTCTTAATATGATTGAATGATTAAGTTGTAGAACATGGAAAGTATATGCCAATAAAATTCGTTTACACTACAGAACTTACTCATAGTTGCTATTAGTGGCTCCCATTAGGATTTTTAAAACAAACAAGAAACGGTTGCTAATCCAGTCCCTTTCAACTCATGGAAACGTCATATTCATGCCAAAGTAAAACTTGCTCCATGGGCTTTTCAGTGGCTGATGTTTCAGAACGAGATCATCAGGCCTTTCTTCTGAGGGACCTCGAAGTACACTCAGACCTCCAGATTCCTGGTTAGCCCTCATGTGCATTCACTGTTGTACCACCCAGGGATGCCTTTATGGGGTAATGAGGTCGTATCTCCCCGAAACGAGCCCTGATGGCCCAGTCCACTGCTAAGCAGTAAGGTTGGCAGTTTGAACTGAGCAGTCTCTCTGCTCGAGATGTGGCAGTCTGCTGCTGTAAAGATGTATAGTCTTGGAAACCCAGGGAGACGTCCTACTGTCTCATACGGGGGCTACCAAGGATTGCGTTTGAAAATCAACACATAAAATGAACATTACATGGGACAAAAATTACTCACAATGGCTTAAGGCAGGCATCTACAAAGTATGACCATTGCTTACCCTGAAACACAAGAACCTCACTCAGTGGGCTAGGATGCTCACAATGGAGAAGACGGCATATAGAAACCAAGACCCTGAGCCAGCGCTGGACAAAGCCTGCCAGCGGGCGCCGACCTCCTTCTCTCACGCCTCGTCTCCGCAAAGCCTCCAGCTCCTCTCCTTGAGTGGCATTCCAACCAGTTAAATAAGCAGATGGTATAATTTCACCACCACAAGTCGCTGACATGTGCTTGAGAAGTCAGTCCTCCAGAAGGCTGCCTGAGATGGGACTGCTCTCCTGCCCCTTGCCCTGGGGACCCCAGCAGACCCCAGACTTATATGCAGAGAAAGTGAGGGAATGCCCACTTACTTGCAGCCTGGATGCGAGCCTTCCGGCTGATCACCAGCCCAAAGCGGTTCTGAGCCACACACTCGTAGTCACCCTCATCTGAAGGGCTGCCTCCCTGATCCAGCCGGAAGTGTCGGATCACCAAGGACCCATTGGTCAGCAGGGTGGAGTGGCTGCTTTCTGGCAGCTCCACCCCATTCTTCCTCCAAGTAATTCGCACTGGAGGGGTCCCCTGGACCTTGCAGCCCAGCACCATGGGCTGCCCTGGCACGGCAACATCATCGCTCGGTTCCACAGTGAACGCCAGTTCGGCAGCGTGGCCAAGACCTGCATTGGGGCAGGGGAGATAGGAAGCGAGAGGTCAGCCAGGAACAACTGCACACACACACACACACACACACACACACGGGATCTGAGTTCCCTGGGTCTGTGTACGCCACCCGCCTTGTCTCCAATTCACAGCCACCCCGTGTGCATTAGAATAAAGTTGTGCTCCGCAGGAGAAGGGTTGACAGTAAACGATGTGTTGGCAGTAGGTCACCAGGTCTTTCTTCAGAGAAGCCTCTGGGTGCACTCAGACTCTCAACCTCTGGGTTAGTAATCAAGTATATTAACTGTGTGCACCGCCCAGCAACACGAAGCGTTCATGGGGACTCCTATAACATGCAGGACTCAGCAAAGTGCCATCCCTCGCAGCATTGCATTTTACCATCAGCCTGTCTCAGAGAAATGGATGTTCGCTTCACCATTCTTTCTTTTCCAGAGAAGGAAAATGGAGCCCAGAGCTGCTGAGTGGCTTGCTCAGGGTCTCACAGTCAGTCGTCCCAAATCTGGGACCTCAAAGAAGACTGAATCAAACACAGCTGCTCCCACTTCTGTGTCACTCTGGTCAGGCACTGAAGTCTCACAGCCTTTCAGAGTGTGATCTCGGATAAAGCATCCAACTCTGTGGCACAGGGGTGTGTCAAGTGTGGTTAAGAAGGCACTATGAAAAGTTGACCGTTCTGAACACATATAAAGTGAGACCGTAATGCATTACTGCTTCTTTTTGCTGGCAGAGAGCAGGGTAGATAGCTCCATAGGCACAGCAGTGCAGGCTAGGCGGCAGGCAGCCCACTGCCCCTCCCCTGGCAGGAGGCGGGGGTGTTGGTCCCTTTTAGCCTTTGTTCTAGAGAGAGGAGGGATATCCAAGCCCAACTCAGAGTTCCTAGAACCTTTATCCCAGCGACTTCCTCTCTCCTTGAAGAGAGAGGAGCTGGAGGAGGAAGTGGAGGGGAAGGGAGTCCCCAGCAAGTAGGAAGATGCGGATCCGAAGTGTGACAGAAGGAACAAGCAGGATTCCAGCTCTCCCGCAAGCTTCTTACTAGAACTGTTACAACTTCGCTTCTGGAGGAATGAGCCCGCCTGCCTGGAGGGGCGGCAGCAGACCCCTGCCCAGAGAGAGAGCCGGAGAGCAGTCCTCAGGGTGGGCCGCTCCCCGGGAGACCAGCGCCCTCCGGTGGCTAGGAGAGAGGGGGTCGTGGATGCGGAGAAAAGCAAGTCTAGAGGGGATGGCGTTTCCTTTGCCCAGTGTGGTTGAAAGTGAGACCGTGCTTTTAGCAAATACAACAAACATCAGGTGCCGGGGATTCTAAATATCTCCTCAAGGAGATGTAATATTTCAACCCACTTGAGGGTCAGCAGCCGAGCGCCTGGCCACTCCGCTGCTTTCATCGAGCATTTAATTTAATTTAGCCGTTTAAAATCCCTCCCCATTCCCCCATAGCCTGCCTTTCCGAGAGTCTTCAACCCACCACTGGCATGGCTAAGGGGGAGGGGGCGCCGGAGATAAAGTTTCTTAGTGCGGGGTGGGGGGGTCGCGACGCCCTGTTTCTCCGGGAGATCCCGGGGGAGGGGAGGGAATATGGACCGGGCGAGGGTCGGCTGAGAACTTGGGGTGGGAAAGGGAGAACTAAATTTGCCTACCCTCCCCCTTAAAGACTCGGATTACTGAAGCCATTGAGGTAACAGGGGTCGTGGTGCCAGAGCCTCGAGAGGCGGGGATGCTCTTCCCTGCAGGGCGGGGGCCTGTGGGCATTCTGCGGGTGGGGGGATTCTCCCTCGGCCCGTACCCGCCCGACACACTACCCGCCCAGGCTCTACCTTCTCCTCTTCCCGGTCTCGGTCTCCCCAGCTCTCTCCCCCAGCGCAGGCTCGGAGCACGGCTCTCAGTCCCTCTCGGTCTCGGCCGCCGC